CGCTCTCCTCCTCTGGTCCCTTCACACACTTGAACCCAGAGGGAAAGGGTGTAGCCACATGGCCTTCACTCTGCCCAAAGTTGGCAGCCAATGCCTCCAGGTACTTTCGTTGATGCACCCGCATGCACCGCTTCTCCACATCTTGTTCGATGTGGAGCCCAAGGTAGAAGCTCACGTCACCAAGGGCCTTGCACTTGAACTTGTCTTGAAGCTTCAGCATCACCTCCTTCACAAGGTCAGAAGAGGGTGAGAAAATGAGGATGTCATCCACATAAACCACCATGAAACTCCTCTGCTCCCCCTCGCCAAGCATGAACAAGGAGTGATCGGCCGTTGAGGGAGTGAAGCCGATCCCCTCCAACACTTCGCGCAGCTTCATGTACCATTGCCTAGGGGCCTGCTTCAGCCCATAGAGGGCCTTCTTCAGCTTCCACACTCTGCCACTACCATCATCAAACCCCTCTGGCTGCGCCATAAAAATCTCCTCCTCAAGGATGCCGTTAAGGAATGCCGTTACGATGTCCATTTGCTTTACTACCCATCCTTTGATGGCGGCTCCCGCGAATAGGGTTCGCAGCGTCGTCGGCTTCACCACAGGGGCAAACAGCTCCTTGAAGTCCACCTTCTCCTTCTGCTGGTACCCCTTGGCTACAAGCCTAGACTTGTAGCGCTCGATCTTGCCGTCGGCATCCGACTTGATTTTGAAGAGCCACTTGGACGTTATCGCCGTACGCCCCTCCGGTAGCTCCACCAATTCAAACGTGTCATTCTCCTCGATGCTCTTCAGCTCACTCTCCATGGCCTTCTTCCACTCCTCAGCATCACTACTCTCCAAAGCCTCCTTGAGAGTTGCTGGTTCTCCCGGCATCTCCACCGGAGAGAAGAACGCGAAGGCACACTCCTCGTAGTCACTCTCCTCGTCGTCTCCGACCATCATTGCCGCTCCGGCCAGGGCTGTCTTGCCCTGCTTTCCCGGCGCATCATAGGTCAGCCTATTAGGGGGTTGAACTCTCCTCTTCCCCCTTCCTTCCTCCTCAGCTGCAGGGACTTGAAGGCCTTGGCGTTGCTGCGGTGTGGCTCGAATCCGTGGAGCACTCGTAGTACGGGAAGGGAGTGACGGTGCACGCTCGCTCACTTGCTGCACCTCCTCCTCTTCTTCCTCTGCATCATTGGCCTCCTCTCCCCCATTCACAAGGGAGGATTGCCTTGTGGTTGTGCTGCCGCTGCTCAGCTCCAAAGGCAGCTCCACATGCTCCAAACCGGAACTCTTCACCTCCCCAAACCGCACGCCTATCTTCGCCTCATTCTCCGCCTTCCAATCCTTGTACATGAAGTTCTCCATGAACTTGCAGTCCCTGCTCACCAAGAACTTCTTGGTGAATGGGTCCCAAAGAAGCCATCCCTTGCTGTTTTGAGCCATGCCCAAGTGCACGGCCCACACCGCCTTGGCACCAAGCTTGTTGTGCCGAAGATGCTTAGGCACGAGCGCCATGCACATGCACCCGAACACCCGAAGCATATCCACCTTTGGCTTCCTTCCTAGCCACTCCACATAGGGCACCCATTTGTCTGCTCCCACATGAGTCAAGGCTCTGTTCTTGGCCACACACGCGCTCCGCACCGCATCAGGCCAGAAATAGTCGGGTAGCCCGGCTTCAATGAGCAACCCGCGTGCCGCCTCCGTGATTGTGCGGTTCGCTCGCTCGGCGATGCCGTTCATTGCAGGGGAGTATGGCATGGTGAGGGAGTGCCGAATACCATTCTTCTTCAGCCACAACCCAAACTCCTTGCTCAGGAACTCTCCCCCTCGATCGGTGCGGATTGACTTGACTAGACGGTCTTGTTGCCGCTCCACCATCGGGAACCAATCCGTCTTCAACGTTTCAGCCACGTCGCTCTTCTTGGCCAGCACGTACACCCAAGTCATGCGGGTGTAGACGTCGACAATGGTGAGAAAATACTCAGCTCCAGCAGCTCCAAGCTTCAGGGGGCCCACCACGTCCATCACCACCTCATCAAGCGGTGCCTTTGCCGTTGCCTCCGAACTAGGGAACGGAAACCGGGTGAACTTGGCTTGAATGCACGTCGGGCAGCCAAGCACCTCATCGGGCTCCCCCTTCACACGTATGCCAGCAACCATCTCATTCTTCACTAGCTGCTGCAAGATGGGCAGGGCCACATGCCCCATGCGCCGATGCAAGGTGAGCCAATCACACTCCCCCGTAGCCGAAGTTGGATTGGAGAATGCCGCGCTCGCAATAGCGCCCCACATACTCTCTCCGTAGTCCTCCTCCGCTGCTGCCTCTGGGTTCTCCTCACCCTTTTGCTGCTCCTTGGTTGCTGCACCACTCTCCTTAGGTTCACTGAACTTGCTGGTCCCTCCAGGTTTGCTCTTCTTGAGCTCATTCTCCTTAGCGCGACCGTTCGCGCCATCGTCGCTACCGACCGCTCCATCCTTGGTGCTGATGCTTGCTGCCACTTGCCTCTCCTTAGGCATAGGGACCACTGGGATCTGCCACATCTCGTTGTAGACATCCCTGTCCTCATGAAGGTCCCAAAGAATTCGATCGCCAAGCCTTGCGGTGTAGGTCTTGGCTCCCTTCGAGTTCGTGTCCATGCCGGCCTTTGCCAACCGCCGCACGGAAATCAGGTTTGCAGCAAGGCTGGGCACCCAAAGCACGTTCTTGAGGCCCACCATCTTCCCATCAGCACCCTTGAACATGGCCTTGCCCATGCCTTTCACCTCTGCTCGCTGCCCCAAAGCCGATGTGACATGCTTCACCGGTGACGGCTCGAGTTCGGTGAGCAAGTCCGGGCGAGGTGTCATGCTATAGGTAGCGCCACTATCAATCACCCAATAGTCCAGGGGATGTAGGGTCACCTTCCCCACAGCTGCTGGCTCCTCAAAGCCTTCATCCTTCTCTGGACCAGCCGGTACTTGCGTCGACACGAAGTAGAATAGACCCGGGTATCGATCGTCGCTCGGGTCCTTGTCGTTGTCTCCGCTCTTCATGTTTGCAGCTCCGCCACCGCGACCGCCACGGCCTCCACGGCCTCGTCCTCTCCCTCCTCCTGCTCCTCTACCCTCTTGGCCTTGAGCAGGGGTCCAACCATCAGGGAGTTTGTAGCAGTCGCGCCACATGTGTCCGCTCTTGTGGCAATAGTGACACTCGCCGTCGAATCGGCCGCGACCGCGTCCGTAGCTCTTGTCGTCGCTGCCGTAACCGCCACTCCTGCGGCCTCCGCCGAAGTTGCTGCCACCAAACCTTCCTCCCCCTCGTCCTCTGCCTCTTCCTCGACCATATCCACGGCCGATGCTCGCTGCCCCAGCGCCATCCGCACTCGCCAACTCACGGCGGCGGAAATCCTCTTGAAGGATAGCTCGCTTCACGTCTTCAAGCGAGAGGCGGGGCAAGTCGCGATTAAGGTTGATGATGAGCGAGGACCATGACTCTGGGAGTAAGGCCAGCAACTTGGTCTTCTTTTGGAGCTCACTGTAGTTCAAATCAGCTCCCTCAAGCCGCGTCAACAAGTCGAAGAATTTCTGCACCCCTTCTTCAACCGCTTCGTCTTCTTCAATTCGTAGTGCCGCCATTTGCCGTTCCAACACCACCGCTACCGCCGCTGTTGCAGGAGCATGTACACCCTTGAGAGCAGCCCATGCCTTTGGTCCTTTCTCTGGTTCACGCTGGAATGGCTTGATGTGACGGATCTGACTGCTCCCCAACGCTTGCCCAAGTAAGAGATAGCCTTGTGCGCTCTTCCGCACCCACGGGCTCTTCTCCGGGTCGTTCTCGGGGCGCTTCTCCGTTCCTTCCATCACCTCCAGCAGGTCATAGTGGTCAAAGATGTTCTCCATCTTGAAGGACCATTCAGCAAAGTTGTCACCGTTGAACTTGTCAAGCCCAAACACCCTAGGCTCATCCCTAGGTGGGCCAAGACTTGGTTGCATGGGCGCCATGGCTGAATCACGGGGTTGGCCTTGAGCTTGAGCTTCTCCACTGACACCAGCACCTCTGCCACCCCTTTCCTCAGGTCCAGACATTGTCGAAACTGCTCCAAGGGCCTCTGATACCACTTGTTATAGTCACAATAGGCTTGAATGTGCCTAAAACGAAAGATAGAGAGCACAGACGGATTTCTGCACAGCGGCTTCAAACGTTGATAGCGTTCTGCTCACAGCTGCAAATGACTTGATTCAAATTGGATCTTGAGCGTCTTCACGTCGTCTACAATTAGCAATTTAGATTGCACGATTTGATAAAGAATTGACGACACAGCGTCGGTTTGAACGAACGGTACTATGGCAGCCACTATAGTCTTAGAACACAAGATAGGAAGAGTTACGAGTTGGGAATGACTCCCAGCTCCTACAAACCCCAAGAGCCGAGGTACAGTGATGTGGAACAGTGCCACACTGTCCCCAACCACGAAGGGTCTCGAAACTACCCTTCACTAGGGCCTACACCAAGTGAAATGTTACACTACACAAAGTAATGTAACTATCTTCAATATCTTGAGGTGTACCCTTTTGGCAAGCTTCGAAATCACTTGAGGCTTGACACCAAGGCTCGGGCTCTTCATCACAAACTCATCCTTGAGTTCTTGATGGGTCTGCTGCACACACCTGCGACACGCCGAACGTTCGACACAGGACAAAATAGAAACCGCGCACGACAAAATAGAAACCGCGCGCGAGACACAAACGACCGCGTAACACGCGTCTAGCGATAACTCGCTATTGACTCGACACACACACTCGACATCATGACTCGACATTCACACACAATTATAAGCATGAAATATATATTATCCCATGCCCTCATACCATTCCATACACACACACATTCACGCACACGGACAACAAGCCGAGTGCAAACCGTAGGGTTGCACCAACAACCACACCACCATGCAACCATGCCCCCATGCCACCATCCCACGTACCGCCTGCAGCATGCTCGACACAGCCTGTGCCAGCACTGCTCCCAGCTTCCCTCTCTCTAGTCTGCACGAGAGCCAGACTATTTTCAAGGCTCCTACACAAGAGAGAGAAAAAGAAAAGCACGTACCGCCTGCAGCACGCTTGACACAGCCTGTGCCAGCCCATCCGCAATGCTCCCAGCGTCCCTCTCTCTAGTTCGCATGATAGCCATACTATTTTCAAGGCACCTACAAGAGAGAGAGAAAAAGTAAAGCACGTACCGCCTGCAGCACGCTCGACACAGCCTGTGCCAGCCCATCCGCAATGCTCCCGGCGTCCCTCTCCCTCGTTAGCACCGCCGCCAGCCTCCTGCCTCTCAGACTCATCACCCGCCTCCTGAACCCCTCCGCATTCCTCCTCGTGCCCTGAACCCACGCCACAAACTGCTTATCATCCACCCAATCATCCTCATCTATCGCCTCACTCGTCCGCAGCGCCTCGCTCTCCCCCCGGTTCACCCTCTGCTCGTCCAAATACCACCGCTTCACCTCCGCAATCGCGTCAATCTTCCCCAGCCCATCCACCTGCAGCATGAACTGCCTCGCAAGCCCGTCCTCTGCAACCTTCCGGCACAACCTCGAGTAGAAATACGCCATCGAGTTCTCCCAAGTGACGATATCCCGAATCGTGCACTTAGCCGCCATTCGCCGCGGAGTATCATGCAGCTCAGCAAACCGCACCGCAATCTGAGTGTACACCGGCAGAAGCGCCTTCTCCCTCTGCGCAATCAGCCCCTTGGTCACTGTGACTGAGCCGTTGTCGCTCCCCTGAGCCTGCAGCTGCTTGGCCGCCCTTAGCGCCTTATCCAAGTCTAGAATCTCTGGGTCTAGCTTGTGCATCGCATCTATCAGCTCCCTCCTCCTAAACTTAATCTTCACCACTCCTTCCGGCTCCAGCACGACTCCCCTCGCCGAATCCTCAGCGTACATCTCCACCATGTGCGGGTTGATCCGATGGTCCACAACGACCCACGCGCCGCCCCGCAGCTCGCCCTTCCTCGGGATGTACACAAACACCGGCTGGTCATATGTCCGCAAATGCTCCGCTATAAGCGACCTCGCTTGAAGCACCCCTTCGAACAGATCCCTCTGCTCTCCAGAGAACCCGTGCCAGTTGGCGAGAATAAACAGCGGCAGCCCCTCAAAGCGCATGTATAGAAGCGCCTGGGCCGTTTTTCCAGCCGAATCCGGATACCACACTTGCCCTGCCTGCGGCAGCACCCGCTCGTGCGAATCATGGAGCAATTAATCCGAGCCACGTGCGACGACCCGGCAACATGGGAACAGCAACTGCCACTCATAGAATTTGCGTACAACAACTCCACGTCAGCCACGACACAACAGTCACCGTTCTATCTCAACTACGGACAGAACCATACAGTACCCATGACGCCGAACCCCGACAACCCAGTACCACGTGCACAACAGTTCGCCAAAATGTTACAGGCAGCCCGGACCCGAGCAGCAGACGCGATAAAAAAATCAAACATCATCGCTAAGCGCAATGCCGATCGCCACCGCCGCCCCGTAACGTACCAGCCCGACGACCTTGTACTCCTCGACACCCAGAACCTCCGCCTGCCCATAACCCCAAAACTCCCCCCCCCCCCCCGATATTGTGGGCCATTTCGCATCAGCCACATGATAACACTCGTCACCGCCCACCTCCTCCTGCCCGCTGACTGGTACGTCAGCTCGTCCTTCCACGTCAGCCTCCTCCGCCCCTACGTCCCATCCACCAGCCAACTGCCACACAGCCGACCATCCAACATGACGCGACCACCCACCGAGCCTGTCATCACCCCGAAAAGTTTTTGAGCCACCGCGTTCGAGACCCACGTGGAGCTCGCAGGATCGAGTTCCTGATTCGCTGGAAAGATCGCACCCCCACCAAAGATGGATGGGTGCCCCTGGATAAAATCTAGAACCACCCCATCTTGACGGAGTATATGGGCAGCCGTAATTTTTGGGATGTACACGCACTCTTGTAAGGGGAGCCTCCTTGGGGAGGGGGTTAGTGTAAGGAAAAATCCATTTCCTTACTCCGCGCCCCTGCTTAACGCGTACACGACTGTTCCCGCCAACAACACCCAACAGTGAAACGTTACCCGCCCGCGACACTCGCCTCGACCACTGTTCCCACCACTGTACACCTCGCGACCCAACCTGACGGCTCGGTTGGTAATCCGCGCTCTGGCCCTCCGCCTCGACGATTCCCAACCTCGGCGCCAGGCTCGTCGCGCACCACATTCTCACGCATGACCGTTACCACGCTAGGCTTTCGCTATATATTGTTCGCTCATACCTTCGCTCATTGTACTCCTGCTTCGATAGTGCAATCTTCGTTCGCTCACTCAATTGCACTCATAACATGAATGCATAATGAAGTGTGTTGACCACTAGTGTAAGGAAAATTCCTTTTCCTTATTTCGCACCCCTGCTTACCGCGTACACGACTGTTCCCGCCAACAGTACCCAACAGTGCACCGTTACCACTCGCGACATTCGCCTCGACCACTGTTTACGCCACTGTTCACGACGCGACCCAACCTCACGGTTCGGTTGGTAACCCGCGCTCCGGACCTCTGCCTCGACATTTCCCAACCTCGACGTAGCGCACCCCACTTTCTTACGTTACCGTTACCAGGCTAGCTTCGCTATATAATCTTCGCTCATTCCTTCGCTCAATGTACTGTTTTTTGCTTCGATATTGCACTTCTCACTCGCTCGCTCAATTGCACTCATAACAACTAGAGTTTACCTATTTGAAAAGATCATATGGAGGATTAAGTCCTGGTGTTACGGGTGCAATTAAACGAGCGAGTGAAGATTGCACCAGTGAGTCAAACGAGACAAATGTGAGCGAACATATATAGCAAAAACATCAAACGGTAACGCGATGAGTGTGAGCTAGCTAGTCTGATGCTGGCAGCTAGGTTCATGCTAGTCTAGAAGCGTAGGCGGACTCGGCCGAGTCCAGCAATGCGAGGTTTGGAAAAATTGATGTGCGAATCTGGCGAACAACGTTAGCAGTAACGGGCGAAGAAACGGCTCTTGTACGCGTTGCTAAGCTGCTCAGTAAGGAATGCCGAAAAAAACTGTCAAACTATACAAATGTTTGTTCTAGGCTACAGTGAGGCATGTTGTAGAGGGTACAACTCTTTTAGGGTTTCCCATATGTATCTCACATCCTGCTAGTCAATCATAATTCCGCTGTTCTCATTCATACATGGTATCATCGTATGTTTGTTCCGACTGCCCTCCGCGTTGCTGCCTCTGTGCGCGCGCTATTCACTACCCTACTGCCCTACTGCACGTGCTGCTCCTGTCGCACTGTTGCCACTGCTGCACGCGCTGCTGCTACATTGCGCGCTGCTGCCCATACTGTGCACTGCTGCCGCGCTGCACGCTGCTGCCGTGCGCTGATGTCATTCACTGGCCGCCTGCTGCACGTGCTGCTGCCGCGCACTGCTGTCGCTCACTGGCCGCCCGCTCCTGCTGCTATCCGCCCGCTGCCCGCGACCGCTAGCCGCCCGTTGCCCGCTGCCGGCCCACTGCCGCCCGCACCCCGCCCGCTACCGCCCACGCACTGCCCGCTGACCAGCCCGCTGCAGCCTGCACACCGCCCGCTGCCGCCCGCTGCCTGCTGCTGGCACGCTGCCGCCCGCACGCCACCCGCTACCGCCCACGCACCGCCCGCTGCCGCCCGCAACCTGCCGCTAGCTGTCTGGTAGCAACCAGCAGCCGCCCGCTAGCCGCCTGCAACCTGCTGCCCGCGCATCGCCCGCTGCTACCCGCTGCCACCCACAACTTGCCACTAGCCGCCCACTACAGGCCCACTGCCACTAGCTGCCGCCTGCGCCCAACTCGCTGTCGCCCACTGCCGCCAGCTGCCGCCCACTGCTGCGCCGCACTGCCTACCGCCGCGCCGCGCCGCGCTGCTGCAGCCAAGCCACCCTGCTGCCGTGCCACCCACTACTGCCGTGCCGCCCGTTTAGTTACAGCACCCCGAGCCGCCGCACATGCCTAGACCTGCAGCTAGTCTCCAGTGCTGCCGCCTCGTTCTTAGTGCGGCCTAACCTAATTTCTGCCATGGCGACTATTACGGTGCTAGCGTTTGACGCTGAGGGGCGTCACCAAGGACCTGCACCTGTACCTACAGAGTGTCACCAAGGACGATGTCTCCCTGTTTAAGCACACGTCGGGGTCCCTCAAGGCCCCCAAGACTCCAGTTGAACTTGCCGCTACCGCTGCGGAGGATGTCCAGAAGCAGTACCGGGATGACCGCATTGCCTGCACGTAGTGGACGGCGCGAGAAGTCGCCACCACGCTTGCCGACCGCGCTCACCTCTGTCCCGACCACAGGGCCCTCTTTCGCCAAGTCGGCCCAGGCTTTCTATGACGCTGTGGTTAAGAGCTACTGCCCCCCCTCTTCTGCCACCCTAGGCCATCTAGCGCTGCCGTTTCTCTTCCCTGAGCTGTCTGACTTCACCACTGTAGCTTATTTCACGACCCATCTGCGCTCTTTTAACTCTCGCTACAATACCACCCTCAAGCCAGAGTATATGGCTGAGAACCAGCCCCCCATGTACCTCACTCTGTACTTCCTCGCGGCTCGCCTCCCTGACACCCTTCGTGCCGTTCGAGGCCTAACGCCAGACGGCCAGAAAGTGGTCTCGGACTGGGCGAAGAGAGCCAGGGAGGCGGGTCACAAGGAAGTCTAGAGTGAGATACATGGGGGGCTGGTTCTCAGCCAGAATGTCTGGCTTGAGAGCAGCACGGTAGCGTGTGTCAAGGGAGCGCAGGTGAGTCATGAGGTCGGCGACGGTGGTGAAGTCTGACAGCTCAGGAAAGAGGAACAATAGCGCAAGACGGCCTAGAGTGGCAGAAGAGGGGGAACAGTAGCGCTTAACTACAGCGTCATAGAGCGTCTTGGCCGTTTTCAGCTGGCGAAAGTGGGACCTCTCGTCTGGCGGGAGGTGGTTGCGGACTGCAAGCTGAGTAGTAGAGTCGCGTGCTAACCACTGGGTATGAGCAATACGGTCGGTCCTAAACTGCTGGCGCTGATCGGTAGTAGCGGCAGGGCTAGGGTCAGTCGGCTCAGCAGGGGTAGAAAGGGACCCTGACGTGTGCTTAAACAACGAGGCGTCATCCTTGATAACGATCTTCGAGTACAGGTGTAAGTCTAGTAGCCGGGACTCGTACTCGATCGGGCGGCCCTCTGCGTCAAAGGTAAGTACCGTAGGCGTCGCCATGGTACGCAGCGGCAGTCTGTAGTAGTGGCGCAAGGGCGGAAGAGGCAGTGGCTGTGGCGCAAGGGCGGCAGTGGCAGTGACACAGGGGCGGCTGCAGTAACAGCGGTGGCGGCTGTAGCGCCAGCAGCGGTGGCAGCTGTAGCGGCAGCTGTATTGGCAGTAGCGCCAGGGGCGGCGGCTGCAGTGGCAGCTGTAGTGGCAGCGGTGGTGGAAGCTGCAGTGGCAATGGCTACAGCTGTAGCGGCAGCGGCTGTAGCAGGGGCGGCGGCTGGAGCAGGAGCGGTTGCGGCTGCAGCTAGAGCGTAGCGGTGGTAGGTGCGGCGACCGCAGCGGCAGCAGGGGCGGCTGTAGCGGCAGCAGCGGCGGCAGCTGTAGCAGTAGCGGTGGTGGCGGTTGCAGCGGTAGCGGTAGCGGCAGCGGTAGGGGCAGCAGCGGCGGCGGCGTCAGCGGCAGCAGCGTCAGCGGCAGCAGCGGCTGTTGCAGCAGCGGCTGTAGCGGTAGCGGCGGCTGCAATGACTGTAGCGGTAGCGGCAGCAGTTGTAGCGGCAGTTGCGGCGGCTGCGGCAGTTGTAGGAGCAGCTGTAGTGGCTGTAGCGGCAGAGGCAGCAGCCGTAGCGGCAGTTGCGGCGGCTGCAGCAGCTGTAGCAGTAGCTGCAGCGGCTGTAGTGGTCGCTGTGGCGGCTGCGGCAGCTGTAGCGGCGGCAGTTGTAAGCGCAGCGGCGGCCGCAGCAAAGGGGGGAGGCGCGTGGGGTAGCGGCTCGCGGGGCAGCGAGGCGGCGCGCGTCGCGCAGGGTAGCGGGGCAGCTGGGCAGCAGTGCGCACATCAGCAGTGTGTGGGGCAGGGGCGCACGCAGCAGCAGCGCGCAGGGCAGCGTGGGGCGCGGGGCAGTGGCGACG